AACGAATATATAAATATATATATATATATATATATACCTAAACATGCCGTAGTATATATATTGCACCTGCAATGGTATGGGTACACAATACACCTATAGGTATATACCTTGTGCCTCGCCTTGTGCATCATCATACTTAAGCCTTACCCTCACTTTATTTATTTGTACTTGTACTTGAATTTCCGTCAATGTACTTGGTATACATCATGTTGTAATTTATATTTCTTTACTCTTCCCATGTATATACCTTCATGTATGGCAATTATAATGCCTATACACTTTGTATAATTAAGTCTTTTGTTATATATAATACATAAACAAATTACGCGTGTTGTTCGGGACCGACTCACCACCACGACGCCGATCGACGAACGATCCACATCGATTCCTTTCACACAATTAAGCAGATAAAATAACAAACAAAACAAAAACAAAAAAAAAGTCATTGTTCCGTCATGTCTCTTCCTCCGTGTGCCTCGCGTGGCTCCATCTGCTCGACGAGCTGGGTTCAATCAGTTAATTACCCGCCTACATCCTGATGCACGTGCACGCGCGGTCCTCGGAATCGGCAGATCCCATATATATATATATCGGTTCCTATATGTATACTTATAGGTGCCGCCGCGCTCGAGGCGCCTATACTCGCCTTGTACCAGCTCGTTGTAAAGTACAGGGTTGCCTTTCGTCCCTTTTTAGCCGACCTTCTCACGTATCTCGGTCGCGAGCAAGTATAGGTACACGCGAGTAATGCTCCTCTTACAGTCCCGGACACGTTCTTTTATTGTAATATTCTTTTTTCTTTTTTTTTTTTTTTCCCCTCTTCTTCCGCAGCGCAGTTGGTAGATGGCTTCCTCGTAACACACGGGGGAAAGTACAGCTGATGTGAGACGACGAGTGTACATATTATATGGATGACGCAAGTATAAACGGAGCTGCTGGCCATGTGGCTCCGCGCGACACGCGCTCATATTCACCAAACCGCGAGCGGAAGGGCGACGACGTCACAAAATTGGTAACCTTTGTGAATGAAGTGGCACGGATCGCGCGGGCGTCATGCGGTATGATTTTCGCCACCCTCGCTTTATAAGTAAGCGATCTCCCGATGTCGGGCGCAAAAACTCTATGACATACACGTACACGCGCCGTTCCGATTCGACCTCTCTTTCCGCTATACACTTGGACGAGTAAATATATAATATACACATTTCTTTCATCCTCGTCCCCGTTCAGCGACTCATCAATTGCACGTGGGCATCACGTGGTGTACTTTCACGCGATTCAAACAACTTAACTATGCTACTCCGTTGCATTTTGCTTGTTAAAAACGAGTATCGGAGAAAACGGCGCGACAAATTTACTTCTCTCGGGTCGACTATAGCCGAGAGAGAGCAGCTCCTGCCTACATCCACCGGGAAATGCCGCCTCTCGAAACAGGTATGCAATTGGTATGGACCCCGAGTTTTTGTTAACTATACGTGTTTTTATTATACATAGGTATGTCGACGAGGGAGAAAGAAAAAATAAAAAAAATAACAACAGAGACCACTTCTTGTGCTTTGCAAAAAATATTTGGTCGTGCGCGCTTACGGGCAGGTCTGACCTTACGCTGACGTACTCCACTTACATTGCACATCTTCTTCTTTTTCCCTTGGAATCCGAGCCAGAAATTGGACGCTGTAGGTGAGGAGATCGAAACAAAAAGGGGGGGGGGGAGGAGACCCTCCCGAGCAATTATACTTGTACGCCTCGTATGGTTGTGAAAAAAAAGGAAATCAGGATAGAGGAAGGAGCGTAATTCGCGAGATGAAAGTATAGAAGCTCTCGCGGCGAACGAAGAAAAGAAAAGGGGGGGGGTGGCAAGGGGGTGATGGTGGTCGGAGTCTGCGTCACGCAGCTAGCGCAACATAAACCGGTCGTCCTCTCTCTCTCTCTCCCCTGGCCCGTTGCGCTCCACCTATATGGACGGCGCGTAGCACGCGGAGGGTCTCAGTCAGCTATTGCCCGCCACCCGGCATCCTTGGCCATCTGCGACTGTGCGTATATACACGGGCCCTCTTGTTTTTTTACTTGCTTCGTTCTCATATATTATATACGGTATACTCGACTCGCGAGGACAGCTGCGAACTATCACGCGACCACAGCGAAACATTTATCGGGACGACAAGCAATATATACTTGTATATCATAACGAGGCTTCGTTTGCTCGCCCGTCACTTTTTTTCGCTCCGGAGGAGGAATTTCGCAGCAACCGAGGTTAGTAGTGCTCCGGTCGTTTCTTCCCTTATTTTCATCCACCCGCAAATAATTTTTTGAAAAAAAAAAAAAAAAAAAAAAAAAAAAAAAAAAAGAGAGTGCCTTTGACTATTCGCAGTCGCTGCTTTGGCCGCACTGGCAACTGTCCCGTGATGACAGAAGCGGCAAATCGATGTAGATCAAAATGGAAAATCTCCTTTTATCCTCCATCAGTTGTAAATAATCCGTGAATAATCACCGGACCCTACATGCATGTCTTCAAAATCATCGCTACGATTCTAGTCACTGTTGCAGCTGGTGTTTTTACTTTTTGTACTTTTTGTACTTTTCTTTTGTATTTTAAATGTTGTTTAGCCATGCGCTCGCCGATCGGTAATTTACCCCGGAACAACATAACTTGTCGGCCCAAGGCTCACTGTCGCGGCATCTCCAATCTTTGCCCCCCCCCCCCCGCTAAAACTTTGTTTGGATTTTACTTAAATTCCATTGTAACGCCAATCCCCCCCACCCCAAGTCCGATGTATACATATAGGTAGGGTACTTATCTTCCCGGGGAAGGAGTTTGCGTAACAAGTTTTACAACAAGGAATCGCAGAAACAACTTTTGTACCAACGCAAGGGGGGATTAGCTCGTATTCCTTGCAAGTGCACGTAAAATGGTTAGCGGGAGCCCTGTTTCAGGACCGGCGAAACAGCATCGCTCGTTCGGGAGATGATTCGTGAACCATCGGCGATCGATGGACCGGTGGAGGTGTAATATATTACACAGAGCCGTTTCCAGAGCAGGCTGGCAATCTGCATGTATAGCCACCTTTTACCCCGACGCATTATACTCTCCGGCATAAAAATGCTAACGAAGCGTAAATAAACGCCCCCAGCAAAAATAGGGGGGTATCGATGCAGTATGTATAGGTGGATTCGTGAATTTGCCAACAGGACGTATAAGTCCGAGTGGGGGTGTATATAGAAGTGCGAGAGGACGATCCCCTGCAAGAGGAGTTACCGAAAGAAGAATTTTCTTGTTTCCACAGCGTGGCGGGGAAGGAAGAATTAGCATAGAGAGTGGCAAACTCTTTAGTCGAGCCGCGCTCGTTAGCCGGACGGTGTAATCGGGTCGTAGAGACAGCCTCCTTACATATAACTCATTGAAAAGCAATTGGGAAAGAAAGAGTCGTACGGGGAGCGAGCGGGCACCGGGATGTCTCCTCGCTTGTATACTTTTTTTTTCAGGTATTATTTATTTTGAATAATAATAGTCGCGCGTCACTGTGGCGGAAAAATGCTTTGACGATGGGCGTATTTATAATCTCATGGGGAATATATATTGAATACAGAGGCGCCTGGGTAGTCGAGACTTTCCAGCTGCCCCGACAACTTGTTGGACAACTTCAGCGTGGCACTAGTACATCTATATCCTCCAAACAATATTTATCAACGCGCGCGACGAGCAAAAGAATTTTAGGTACATTATTTCTTCCCTTGTCGCGTCTCCGCGGTGCAATCATCGTTCGATGTTGCAAAAGTATGGGTGCATGACGGAGTATCTCGTTCTTCTCCGAGCATCAGGCATATCCGAGTATATATATGGGACGGGTGACTTGCTTTCGCGAATAATTCTCGGGGGGTGATAAATCTTGCATTTTCGATCGATCACTCCTTGCTCGTTTGGTGCGATGTATTATTTATGCACCAGACAAAAATACTCTCGCAGCTCCAACCGTGTTTTGGCTACTATTGTCATCGTGCATTTTCATCGTCATTTTTATTCCTTCGACGGGTGCACCGAGTCCCGGTTATATACCGCGCCATCATCGTTTTTCCATCGCTCGACTAAACGCAACAGAAACCGGGGGAGGAGGAGGAGGGGGGGGAACAAAAAAAAAGGTAGAGTAAGTATACCTCGAGTCGCCTCGGGGCGTGTTTCACGATATACATTCGCTCGAGCAGTCCTCCGCGAAACGTATACAATATATATATTTAATTATCATCCGAAAATTTTTCAACCGCGCCCAGTATTCGCGATTCCGTTGAGTTTAAACGCCCCCGTGTCCCCCGGTATTATATTATTTATGGCGCAATCATCCGATACTTCGGCGCGGCCAAGCCCATCCAAAAAACGGCACCCGTGATATATATATATACCTTCGTTGTTTCGTTTCAAAGCAAAAGTTGGCGGCAAAGGGCCCGAGTCGTTGGAAAAGATTTCAAGACTTTTAACTTGGAAGGCCTGGAAGGAGAAAGGAGGAAAAGACGACGAGGTGTTGGAAAACTGACGAGACGAGACAATAACGACCCACATGTTTCCAGCGCGCAGTGGTCGGGGGGGGGGAAGGTTTAAATATTTGCATTGCAGAGACGACGGCTCGTCGCGCGGCTATACAAACGCCGGAAAAGCGAGCTCCCGTCGCTTCGCTCGCGCGTGCAAATTATTTAGCAGCGCTGCGATTTCGTTCGTTCGTTTGTTTCTTTTTCGTTCTCTTATTCCTTGCGGCGCTCACTTTTAATTCATAATCGACCCGACGACCGTTTCGCGTGTGTATACACAAGCGGGATCTCCGCGTATGGCTTTCGCGTGTGCACATATTGGATGAATCACTGCCCATGAGATTGCACAACATGTTATACACCTGCAATGCCATTAGGTCGGATTTACCCTTGTGGTCCAATCGGACAGAGTAACACCAAACTCTCGGGAAAGAGGGAGAATCGTGACGAATGAAACGAAGCGTGGGAGTTGATAAACCATGGAAAAAGCTTAGCTTTGAACGCATGGGTTATACTTATTATCATACAATCCAAGCACAAGTGCAAGTACAACACATTATATAGACCGGAGCCCGTAGCTTTACGTGCAACTTTAACAACAAGCTCAACCATCACGCAAACTCGTTTCCTCCCTCGCACGCAAGCTCTTAACGATCGGGCATTTATCTTGCTTCCTCGCTCGCCACACTCTTAAACACCAGCTGCACCCGCGTACAAAGACAGATAATATACACGGATGAGAGAAATAGTGCATCTTGGGGCTCTCTTAGGTATATGTATTATATGTATATAAAGCCTTTTTCATCGCTTGTTCCTCCCAATGAAATCACCGCTGCCCCACTCGGCTCCTCTTTTTAACGCTCTCCACACATTATTATATTCAAGTAGGTACACCTACCAACTCCAAGTTGTACATAATGTTCGAGAGCTTGGGTCGCCCACGCGCGCACCACCGGCATTGTTTCTTCCCTCTCTCTTCAGATCGATCGCGATTTTTCAGCTGCACGCGCCGAGATATATATGTATATTATACACCTCCGCACACGCGAGGGACTGAGGGATAAAAGCGCGCGTTGTTCGTACACGCAATTTCTATGTAATATCCATTTTGATGTGTATACTTTCCCGCTCCGCGGATTAATCACTCGTTGGCTGGTCTGCCAAATGAATCACGCCTGGCACCAGTGTCCTACTCCGATTAAATTGAAATATACATATATGTAACAGCTGACCGAGTGAAATTCCAATTTGGCCGCGCAATAAGAAACGGAGTTTTCGCGCGACCTACACGATTTCCGCTCTTCCTTCGAGAGTGGTGTACATATAGCCGTATATTTCCCCGGGCGCCGCTCTGTTGTTGACTTTCATCGCAAAATCCACGCCTTCCCTCTTTCGAGGTGTCGATTCGTAGAGCTGTTCCTCCTTCATTTGTGTATATCTTCTTATCTTCTTCCTCCCCCCCCGTGGGAGCTGACAATGCGCTCATCGGCGCGCGGAATCCCTTTTGAAGCCCCATATGGCTGTGGACAAGCGAGGGAGAAAACAATTTGTCCTTACGCGCGCTTGACACTTTTTTTTTGTTTTGTTTCCTGCACGCGCTGCGTCGAAAGTCGTTTAATGTTTCACGCGCGTGTGGACGTTGTCAACTAGTCACCCATGCACACGCCCATATATATATATATATGTATATGCAACTGGGATATCTTTTGAATTACTTATTCGGTGTACGATTGATTTCGGCGGCCAAGAGTCGCCTCGGGCTGGCCGGGACGAGCAAAGAGTGTAATTAACTTCTTAACGAATAACACTTCCTTCCTCGAACAGATTTTTTCAACAAGTTTTTCCTTCGCCTCCGTATACAAAGCTCAAAGAAACACCCTCCCTCCCCGAGCGGGCACATTTTTCCACTCGCCTTTTTCAATTATACACAATCAACTATCATCGCCCGGCTTCCTTTGCAGCCGTCAGTTCTCCACGTGTACGCGTACGCGTGTATTTTTCATGCCGTCGAGTTTCTTTTGTGGATATATATTATCCATGCACCGGGGGAAGTACGTAGTCGCGTATCAACTTTACTTATATTTATTTATTGATTTGTACAGGTAAAAGTATACACGCGGTGTTGTTCAGCGAGCCGCTATAATTATTGTCATTTTCAAATAATTGAACGAGTCAACCGGGAGGGAAACTACAATTGTTCCTATCGGGCAATTCCTCATTAAATGAGTCCCAAGCACGCGATACTGTGGGTTTACCGTCTCCCTCGTGGTCACACGTTTCGACTCTTGGGCTCATCTTTCATTGACCGACTCGTGCGTGCACATTTGAAAGATATATACCTACCACGCGACTTTGCCAAGACAACAAAAAAACAACTCTCGTTGCGCTCGACGGGCCAACAAAGTTTCTATACGTACATTTTTTCGCGAGTGACGCCGATGTGTCTGGTACATTATGCACAGCAATCGAATGGACGGACAATGAATGGAATCAAACGACAGACAACAGGATAAAGCGTCCTCGCTGACGTCACTTTGACTTATAGCCTTTGTACATATATACATACTTTTTTTTTTCGAAGAAAAATAACGTAGATCTGAAAGACGCTTCGGTCGCAACTGATGTGCCTTGCCAAAACATCTTTTAAAATCCCGTGTGCAAGTCGCTTGAAAGCATTACAAATCACATCCAAATTGCTCGCTCATGCACATTTATATTTTGTACATTAGAGCTGT